ATAGGTATACAAATAAATTATTTCAAGTCCCTAGCTAATACAAAATAAAAAAAATGCTTGTAATAGTTGTTCTAGCCTGAAAACAGACAAACATTCACGTAACGTAAAGCAATAGGGGCGTGATTAAAACCTGTTACAAGTACGGAACTCTAAAAATTATTCGTAACAGCAGTGTTTAATAATTTAAATAAAACACTTTAACGGTTTAAAACGCGATATATTAGCTAAAGGGTTATTAAAACCTGTTACAACTACGGAACTCTAAAAATTGATTCGTAACAGCAGCCGTTTAATAATTTAAATAAAACACTTTAACGGCTGCTGAAAACGTCGATATATTATGCTAAGTTAAAAATCATTTTCTAAATAAGTTTGACTAATATATCGCGTTTTAAACCGTTAAAGTGTTTTATTTAAATGTGTACTACTCGCGTAAACTATAGACAGTATTTAGCGTTTAATAATTCAATCATCTTTACCGGTTCAAAATATAATAGTTACCATAAAACATTTCGTGTGTGTTTCAATAAGTATAATTATTTTTTACATTATTAAAACATCAATTTTAAGAAACAATGTAGGCAATAGATTCGTATTCGTCTCAATTGATCTGCTTCAGATTTAGATGGATCGCAATAACTTCCTTATATGTGACTTGTACACGCTAAATATAGTTAAGCCTATGTCGTATGTGACCAAGGTTAGGTATAAGATTATGTTTATAATATGTTACATCATAATATAATAATACGCAACAGGACTCTTGCATGACAGTTGACGTTATTCGAGGCTGCTAGAGGCAGAGTGGCCTAATGACAAAAACATGATTTCCAATAAGGAGGAAAAAACAATGTGCAATTAACTTGGGCGAAAGTGAATTTAGACTATTATTTGTGTAAAATTATGTTAACAATTTTCGGTTCACTATGCTCTTGTAGATTAACATTTTCATACTATGAAAATATAAATATAAAATTTGAGTTAGGCTATTCTGCCTCTAGCGGCCTCATTTAAATACATTATGCCTCCCCCTTCGGGGGTGATAACCCCCCTCCAATTGTGTCGCTATTCTATATACGTTCCACTGATCGATTGTATACAAAGATGTAGTTGATCGGGCAACTATGCTCTGCTCGACCGAAACAATGTATCGTTTACTTGGGATTCGATTCCAGGAAGGAGCCTTTCAGCCATTAATGCGATGGAAAGGCTGTAAGATGAACACGGAGGCTGTAAATGTGACACTAGCTGTTGTTCCCGTGGAATAGTTTATTTGGGCGTCGAATTTAATTTTTGCAAACATCGTAGACAACGTCGTCGACATTCATCGCGGACATGTTTTTAGATGATTTAAAGAGGAAGAATCATTCTATCATACATATTTTTTTTGGTTTCTAGAACCGTTTCCGAAGCGCAACGGAAGTACTCGAAGATAAATAATTTTTCCCCGGTTATTCCACATTCTCCACTGTTCTTCTCTTGTTTTGGTCACAAAATTATATAGCCTTCCTCGATAAAGGTCTATGCACCACAAAAGTAATTTTTCAATTCAAACTTTGTAGAAGTATTTTATCGCGATAAAACTACTCTCAGGTTTATAAAATTAGCATAGACTACTTCATAAAAGGAAAAATACATTATGTGTATAGTAGTCGATTTGACGAATTGTTTTTTTTAATAAAGCGACTACAAAAACCGAATTTAATAATATGGTGTTATGCCTAGATTGTTTAGAATAAAAAGACAATAGCTTTTGTATGCAAGTTGTTAATGCGTTACATTTCAACTAGTACAAAAGGTTCTGGTTCAAATAGCAGGTTATTTGAATAAAACACTTTAACGGTTTAAAACGCGATATATTAGTTAAACTTATTTTTAACTTCGGCCCGACGTTTCGGATGCTTTGTAGCAGCCGTGGTCACGGGGAGACAAAGTTAAAAATCATTTTCAAATAAGTTTAACTAATATATCGCGTTTTAAACCGTTAAAGTGTTTTATTTAAATGTGTACTACTCGCGTAAACTATAGACAGTATTTAGCAGGTTATTATTTAAACCTAAGTCTTCTCTTAATATGAAAAAATTTGTAAATATAGGTATAAATACAGTCTGTAGTTTATGCGAGTAGTACACATTTAAACAAAACACTTTAACGGTTTAAACCGTGATATGTATTAGTTAATTAGTTTCAGCTGATGCAAAGCATTCGAAACCTCGGGCCGTAGTTAAAATAATTTCAAATAATTTTAACTAATATATGTCGCGTTTAAAACTGGTAAATATTTTATTTTAATATACGTATTGTAAAGAGGTGGTTCGAAGGCTAATTGCTTATATGCCTATGAAGGAAAAGGGGCAGGTGACTGACGTGATAGAAGTGTGTGTATAGAAGTAATGTTGTGGCGTTAAGACTTTACGCCACAATTACTCACGTATCTAGGCTTAGATACGTTGTTAGGACGTCTAGGTATCGATCAATTAAAATAGTCTGGAGCTTATAAACCGGTAGCGATGGGACGCACATCGGTCAACAACCCAGTACAAAAGAAAATTGATCTCATCTTCAAGATATAGGAGTTAAAATAGCGAATTTATCAAATCTTTTTAATGAATAGAGTCATTTCTGTTTTTATCAATTATATTGACAGGTAAGTAAGTAGGTATTTAAGTTGTTATCTGTGCCCTACTTGACCGATAGTATGTTTGAAATCTTTAATATTTTTGACACGTTATTGCACATGAAGGCACCATATAATTTAAAATTCGTAATTAAATTTTAAAAATTTTCAATTCGGGCAGGACTTGAACCGGTATCGACAGCGTTCCAACGCAAACAACAGCACGGAACGCTGACGATGTCGGTTCAAGTCCTGCCCGAGTCGAAAGAATTTTCAATTTATTTTCGATTTTTAAATGACGATACTATGTTATTTGCTAGGATTTGAACCTAGAACTTCTTACGCTTACCGCAATTATAGGCAATGTTCTTAACCAATATAACATGGATTCAACTTATTAAGATCCTAATTCAATAAACAGAGATGGTTTATCACACCTACATATAAATACAAATTGTAACTAACACTGCTAAATAAGCCGTCATTAAAAATTCCTTGGTGAATTCGAAAATGAACTCTTAATCATTACCCATTTATAAAAAAATTAGGTCACAAAGTTTGTGTTATTTAGGCAAACTAGCTCAAGACAAGTGTAATTACAACTACAAACAATCATCAGTGACTCAGTGGTGAATCATGAGGATTTAATGCTCTGCTGAGTTCAGTAAGTTCATTTGTTATGAAGTAAAATGCTGTCATAGACAATACCCACGGTGTGAATAATAAAAAACAGGCTAGGTTCAAGAATGCGATGAATTATAAGTAAAAGTATTTATCACACTAAAAATAGACACAGTAACATTGATTAAAGTTAGTGTTTACTTATATAAATAAAAAAATTCAGTTAACCAATGACATTGCAATGATGTGCATAAATTGAAAGCAAATTAAAAAAAGTCTACATTTTATTATTGTAATTTTTTACATTTTATAAATATTGTTAAGTATATAAGTTCCATGTGAACTCTCTTTGTGCAAGATTTTATCAAATTTGGCAAAGCTGCTTAAACAAGTGTTTTTAAGTGCCATACCTGAACCCACAAATCAACATTAGATTATATAGTTACATTTTAATCAATTAAAAGGTAAAATGAAATACTGTACTATCTTTTAACTTTAACAGGTATTAATATTTGAAAACTTTAATATTTTTTACATGTTATTGCATATGAAGGCACTATGTTATTTAAAAATCGAAAATAAATTGAAAACATTTTTGACTTGGGCAGGACTTGAACCGGCATCGTCAGCATTCCGTGCTGTTGCTGTAATATTACTACTATTATACAATTTAAAATGTATAGACACATACTCACTACATGTACATGTAATGAATTTATCATAGGTTTAATCTTGGACGCAGAATGTTGCAAAAGGGAAATGCCCTAATTTCTAAACAATTATCTTGAACTATTTTAAACATAAAGAACTGAAGGGACACAGCGAGAGTTGGATAACCCAAAGTCCTCCATAGAAGAAGGAAATGGGGAAAGGGCTGAAATAGTCAACTGGTGGTGTCAACTGATCAACCAGCCTCCTATAGGTGTCCCCAATAGAAAGTAATAATATCCTAAACACAACATGGCTATACAAACGCTTCAACATAACCTGTATTAGTGGTTTCTATAGAAGCAAAAGGATAATTAAGCTTAATTTTTCAGATTTAATGTAATATATAAAATCCGTGTGTTGTTATTACTGATACTCCCCAAAATTAGCTGGACATATTTTTATGCATCTTTAGTAGGTCTGAGAATTGAGATTGGCACCACTACCCTTCTCGTTATTTTGATTACATTTGTTTATTATTTATATGATTTTTTTACTATCTTATAGTGTTACATTAAAAATTAGTTACAATTTTCATCCTTCTATCACACAACCTAGTTGTCTATAAGTCAAGAAATTTAATAATTTTTTTGTTTCAATTGATAATAGATGTATAACCACTTTGTAAGTTATCCTCACCAGATGTCGACACTAAACAAGAGTATATAAAACATGTGTGCTGGTAGTTTGTTATTTTTGTATCTCCTCATCCATCACAGTTGTCCATGTCTCTTTTATTCATATACCACATCTTTAGACACAATAATTTTTCTACATTTGATGGCATAGAATTCTTAATAGTTAGTTACACATTGAGTAGGTAAATGAGTATTATTATTTGCTTTTATAAATAGATACATTCTTAATTTCTTCAACATTGAAACCGTCTCAGAGATCTAAACGTCTTATTACTTTTGGGCACAAAAGATAAGTGATGAGTTTTGATGCAGCGAGAGACAAGACCCGTTATGATTGGGAATCGTGAATCACTTGTAAACTAAGAAAAACTTAGCGTAAAAGACAGTTCATGGAAAATATGGTTTAGAAAGCCTACCTTGTAGACATCGCCATAGGTGCCCGAACCGATTCTGTGCACCAATTCATATTCATCTTGTGGATTTCTCCGTGATATATCCGAACTGAGAACACCACCACTATGCGCCATAATCACTAGCGAGCACTAATTAAAACACTTATAACAATTTCACCTCATTATTCACACACATACTTATTCCACAAGATCGTCGACAAATTAAATATTTTTACCAGTACCAAGTCACAAATTATGTATCGACATCACATCGCCCTGAAATTTTCGACTTTGACGTAATCCCGGTGACGTTTGACGTTTATCATTCTTTAAATGTCACACCATGAATCGATCCTTGAAGAAACGTCATAGTAATTTTTGATAGTAGACATTTTATTATCTGTAATAATTAGAATCCACTATTGGAACATAGTTATATATTTGTACCTCAACACCGGCTTATTTTGACAATAAAGGTAATTACCGTCTCTCCATGAAAAAAACCGTGGATGAGATTGACTTGGTTTAAATACTAAAATAAAAATGTTTCACGTAACAGTTATTTTAAGGATCTCTAAACGGCTAAACCGATTTTAATGTATTAGTTAGGGCTGAAAGTAGACTGTTATCTATTTCTTTGCCTTTTTCACTCATACTATATCGTCACTCTTCTATAGAACTTTAGAAATTATTCATATGGCAAAACAATATTTGCCGAGTTGCATTGTAAATAAAAAACCTAACAACTGTAGGTGATTTGGAAAAGAAAAAAAACATTGACTAAATGTTAAAATGGTATATTTATTACAATCCAATATCTTCTGTCGGCATTAGTGTTTACAAAACATTACTTTTAATCGCCGACTCTTCTATAACCTCTAACACTTTATAAAATTATATAATCTTTTTTGGTTCAATCCATTAAGTGCACTTCAAATGACATAGCTTATTACATATCAAGCATTTGGAAATTTAAAATCTCCCAAAAATTGTATGCATCTTTGACTTATTACATTGAATAACACTTGAAAAACTTGTTTTTGTGGAAAATGCGTTCAATAAATTCACAAAATGAACTCAAAAGTTGTCAGAGTGAGTTCTTAGACCTTCCAGTTAAGACTAACTCTAGAAAATAAGTTTCCCAGGATAGTTCAAGAGTAAGTATATATTTTAAACTCTAAATGACTTACAACAATTTTCAAACTAATTTATCAACTGCTGTCATGATAGACTTGAATAAAAAAAGATTATAAGAAATAAATGAAAAGGTCTGGCTATACAGAAATGATGTGGAGAATCTTCTATCAAAGAAAAACTATTATTGATGCAGTCATAACCCTCAAAGATAGTGGTCACAGCAGAGATCAGAGGATGAAAACGGGTGACTAGGACTCAAGACAGCAAATGATAAAACAGCCAAAAATACATATTACAAATGGAAACAGATATCATATTTTACTCTCATCACAAATTTTTAATAAGCTCTGAACACATTTACAATTTTACAAAGAAACCTCGTGCCAAATCAATGATATGAGAAAAATTGCTGCTACTTTTGAAGCAGCGTTCTTGCGTATAATTACATACATAAATAATCTTCCACCAATTTTTGTACTAATTCTAAAATATTTACAATCAAAACAAACGTTTTTGGTAAAAAGCGCTTACAACAAAAAAATCATCTAAGAAAAAAGAAGGTGTTTTATTGTGATAATTATTACAGTTGTGTATTTTATAAACGCGTATTTGCTAAGTCAACAATACAAGCACACTTTGGCACTATTACCGGAAAAAAAATATATACTATATGGAAGTACATATATAATATTAACAATTTTATTAAAAAAACAGTATAAAATACATTGTTGTTTATTTTTTTGTTTAGTACAAACCTTGTAATAATTAAGTAAATTATACTGTTTTTCAATTAAACTCAAAATAAACATTTTTACAAAATTATTTCTACTAATATACTAATATAGATAAAATGTCAAACGCATATATACAAATACAACTATAATCAGAGATCTGTAAAATCTTTGTTAGGAAATCAGTTTCATTTTAATAGATTTGATGTTATCAGCAAATGACAGTTACCTTCGCAGTCGTAGATAAAAAAAAGGGTAAACCGGTTGAATATGATAGTCTAATGTTAATTTAGAAAGGTATTATAACCAATTTAAATGGTAGAAGAAACTGGACAGTTTTATAATGTCAAAGGCACATCGGAAGTTGAAAGTTGCCAGTTTTTTTTAATACCCTATTTTGTGTAATGATAGAACCAATTGATTTATTTCCACGTGAAGTGCGTAATCACAAACCAAATTCACCTAATTAATTTTATTCATACTAATAATTACCTAAAATACATTAATGTAACAATGAAGTAACTAAAATTAATGGTATCGGAAAAGGTTCTTAAATAAATAAAAACATAAAAAAAACACATCTACCTTCGAATTTCAATGCAATTAACTAAATGTTAGTAGTTATAATAACTTACATTGATTTTAATAAATAACCGTTAAACTAGAAACCATGAGCAAGCGTCCATTATGCGTCACTATTTTTTGATTTTTTAATTTTTTTGCTAACGCCCTGGAATTATTTATCTATATGAATTACAATAAACAGTCTATGGGGAGGAAAACGAACTTCAATGAAGGTAGGAACCAAAATTTCACCTTCGATTTGCGCGCGCGCGTGTACGTACTGGTTGTTTCGCTTGTGTGACCGTTGCGCTTCTTGTTTTCCTCACGTTATCTTTGACTTTAGTTTCACTGTTTTTAACTTTATTTTTTGCGTTATTTCTTTTACCTTTGGTAGCTTTTGGGCTGACGCTTTCTGCAGAGTTTACCCTACGGTCGGATTCAGTAGACAGCGTGGGCAAAATACTCTTAACTTCAGATGGAGATAAGCAAATCTCTAGTCTCCTACATCTCGACCTCGTCATTCTTACATTTTCTTCATCGACTTTTGGAATATGTTTTCTAGCCTTCGCAATTTTCCTAGAATCGTCGACGCCACCCTTACTGTGGCGTCCGTTTTGCCCTTTCTCTCTGAGCACCGGTTTCGTGACTTCCTCGAATCGCCTCTTTCTAGTGACTCTGACTTTGTCGTTTTCAATAGATTCTTTAGCTTTTCTAGGTACTTCCTCGGGTACCTTCCTGGGCCGACTTTTGCCGCGTTTCTCTGGCGTTTTAACGCGGCTACGTAATTCCATTCTTACTGTTTGTGGAGTGTCTACTTTTCTGCGTTTCCTGGGTACAGGCGACTGCGAGACTTTCCTACGAGTGGTTTTCGGGAAAGCGACTTCTGTTCCTTCTAAGCCTTGACTGCTTTCTATGTAGATGTAATCATCCAGCTTAGATCGTGATTTAGCGTAAGTTTTTTCAACGGGTTTCACTGAAGGTACTTCGTCTGTATCTTCATAGCTGGGCTCAGTTATCTCGTTAACTGGAGTATCTTGGGTATTAGCCTTAATAAGTTCTACATCATTATCTATAGAGTTCTTATTCATTCTATTCTTGAGGTTGTTTATGGTTTCTAGAAGTGAGTTCTCTCTGGGGTCGTCTGATTGTTGAGTATCAGAGGCGCCCGGTTCAGAGGAACTGGATTTTCTTTGTTTATTCTTATTTCTGCGTTTATAAAGATCCGCCTTGGTCATATCCTGCAGGGAAAAAACAGTGTTATTTATTAAATATTTAATTACGGGGTGACTTTACTGAGTACGCGAAAGTAAAATAAAACTATACTTACAGCAAGTTTGAATCCGACAGCTTCCTCGTCACGTTCGCTAACGTCCAATAGTTGCAATAATTCCGAACAAGTCATACGATCTTCGGCGCGTACGCACAGAAGACCACGCACAGCGCGAACGCTAGACTCCGTTATTGTGCTCCAAATGCCACCTGAATCAAAATGTATTAAGCTTTTAATATGTTTGTTCCGTTTGAGACGATGTAAAGAATTGGTAGTAATACAGTTTATAAGACCTGAGATACTACATATTTCTTAGTTCTTTTCCAATCTTACCTTCCATCGAGAAGTTGCCAGTTCTAATTCTATCCATAAGTGATGTGACAGGTTCCTTTCTCGAGATAGGAGCAAACGGCGCTTTCCCACAAAGCATACAGTACTGAAAAAAACCATATAGTTAATTACTAAGTAAGGATACATAATTATAACATTTTCACATAAAAGTGATTTTAGAGAAATACCCAATTTAAATACATTTCACCCTTAACATATATTTAGAGACAAATAATTAATTGCTTAGATAACTAGAATTATATATTGTATAAAATCAACAAGCACTGATGATTTATATAATAAACTTTGGGTACAATATGTATGTTTATTGTGTTATTATGCAAAACCCAAATTATCAAAAAAGAAAAATAGGTCGACAGCGCACCCTGTTTCAATGTTATTTGGCTGATCAACTTCCATCAAGTGAAGTCCATGCTGTCATAAAAAATAACCAGGTCACCAGGCGGTTCGGTTACTAGTATCTGTTCTACTTATCAAAGTTAATACACAATATTACTTACAAAAATGACTCCCAAACTCCACATATCACATTCCGGCCCGTAGCCAGTCCCGGCGCCGCGTGCGCACGACACAACCTCTGGCGCCGCATACGGCAAACTAAGGAAGAAAAACAATCATAATCAAATCATTTTTAGAAATAAACAAAGAACTTTCATATTTGTTATATAAAAATGCGCATGAGTGCTAATGTAACTTTAGGTAAGCTAGAGGTGCCCCAAAAAATGTTTGAAAATTACTTTTATATAATTATTGTGTCACTTTACACTATAAAGGAGCGTAACGTAAGGAGCGTGTAATAAATATTATACTTACATTAAACAAGTTTCAGAATTTCAATTAGATATGTGCATTTATTGAAATTTAAACATGTGTTTAAATTTTAATAAATTAAGTCAAACAACCGATCGTAGTTCACCCTGACATAACACAAATTCATCATAAGCGATATAGGTGCTTGAGAATACTTAATTACATAAGGCTTTTGAGCTGTTAGGCCATCGACTGAATAGTGCGTGCTTAGTCAAGGAGCTTCGGACTAAAATCCTTTTATATTACGTCTTTGTCTCTCACAGTCTATATATAATAAATGTTGATCAACTAGTTACCTGAAGCACGGCGTCATCATCCTCTGCCGTTCCTCGCAGTCGGGCAATCTTTTCGCGAAACCAAAGTCGACCACTTTCACTTTAGCCTCGTTCAATCGGGAACTCGTTAATAGTATATTCTGAAAGTTTTGTATGCCGTTAACTGCAAAGTATCGCAACAAGTAACATAATACAGAGGCAACATAGAAATGTTATAGAGTTTTGTTTGTAACTTTAAAAAAAACAGTTAATTATTATATTTCAAACAAGAAAACCGATGAACAAGTAAAAACGATTATAAGTATCGGCACGGATCTTTAGCGCTGAACGAATCCTGCGCAGAAGTCAAAAATAAGGTTCCGAAGGGACGGAAGCGGGCGCGGGGCGAGTGAACGTCATGTGCGCTAGCGTTGATTGGTGTTCCTCATTCGTGTTGTCTTTCTCGGACCAATACGACGCTCCGCTTGCTTCTCGAGTACAGTCACGGTTTCCAAATAATATTTAGTTTAAGATTATTGTAGTAGACATTTATTTAAGCAATTGTCCTAAATAGTACACTTCATAAGTTAAGATTGATAATATTTATTGACCCTATAAAATGCAATGTTAACAGTTTAGGTTCAATAAATTGAGTTTACTGCAACAATCTACTGGCAACGTTTTTATTTGGCTTATATTCAGAGTCTTCTAATAGACATGGCTACTGAAAACATTCGGCATTCGATAAATTAAAAATCCGTGAACCGGCGTCCACAGCGATCTGTGGCGCTTTAAGCAATTGACATACCGTCCATCCTATACGTACACACCTCTGTTGAAATGTAATTTCAACCTTAGCACTTGCGAATTAATTTTTCTAATTAATAATTAATTTTGACATTGCTATTACAGATTACTGAATCATTTATTTGTCCCATTACCTCAGGTTTTATATCTCGATGGACCACACGTTTCGAATGCATATGTTTCACAGCCAGTGCCAGCTGGGCGAGTAGTCGCCTGGCGATTTTCTCGCTGATTGAGCCCAAATGAGACGCGAGTTCACCACCGGAAGCCAATTCTGTTACTATGTATGTGAACGCCTGCAATTTTATTTATTTATTCATTATGAACCAATCCTTTCAAAATAATAAATCCAACATGAGACTGAGTTACAATAATAGTTTTAAGATATAGATCGTATAGTAATATAGATATAGATCGTAAGGCCGCTAGGGGCAGAGTAGCCTAACTGCAATTTTGTGACTTGAGTTATCTATATTTTCATAGTCTAAAATGTCTATCTACAAGAGCACAGTTTGATCAAATTCATTTTCGCCTTAGTTAACTGCGCATGTCTATTTTCCTCTTTATTGAAAATGATCTCTGCCTCTAGCACCCTCAAATATCATACACTATTATCTGTAAGAAATCGCTCAACATGCAATTAAAATTGTCTATTTTACAATTCACAATTTTAAGAATATGAAGTGACTAACCAGCAATTAAATAAAACATTGTTTTAAACAATATTTTATTTAATTGCTGGTTTGGATTACACAAATTATTTGAATGATTTTTAATAACTTTAATGAAAAAGCAATAGTAGGTGAAAAGTACTAAGTGCTTCTTTTCGCTTTAACAAATACTTACAGAATCTTGAAAGACTTCATGAAGCGTGATGATATATGGAGACCCCTGGCATGCCTTTAGTAATTCAATTTCTTGCTTAATGTCTTTCTTTTGTGTTGAGATTATCTGCGAGGTAATAAAACACTAGTATAATATAAGAATCTTCAACTTACACACAATTAATCGGACATTATTTTGACAGTAAACATCAAATTCAAATTCTAAATCGACATCACATAATCTACATTGTCTTGGATCTTGTACAGTAAACAATCGCAGAAACTACTCTAACACCATCGTTTTAGACATGTTTATTTATATCAGAAATCAGCCATATAATATCTTGACAAGATGCACTGTCTGCTAATTCTGGCTATAAACATTTGGAAATCCAATTGAAATCGAAACGCAGACTACACTATGCCTACCATCAATTCATTGTCCAAAATTTTCCAAACAAAGTCTAAGATATATAAGAAAATTATGAGTAACTTGTTTTTCTTGTCCCCCCCCCCATCCTCAGCTACGGGACAACGGATGTTAAGCCAAGCTCACCTTAACAGCATATTCCTTAGCCGTTTGTCTATGAATGCATTTCCTGCAAACAGCGTACGAGCCATCTCCGAGGAGAGGCGTGCTCAAATCCACTGCGTATTTTTGGAAGAACGGCGAATCCTATAAAAGAATAAAGAATATTTTAAAGGTTGATTTGTATTGAAAATCCATAGTTGTCATGTGGATTGCCCATGAGATGAAACTTAAGCATAAATCTATTTAGAGCGTTTGATTTCAAAATACACATTCAATTGAAAAACACCTTGTCTAGCAGATAATTAAAAGCTAGAAGTCCAAAAAGTAATTTGCAGGGACATAATAAACCATTTCGCTTGTGCAGATTAAGAGGATAATCACCTAACTCTATACATAGTCTATCAGTAAAGCTAACGGACAATTTTAAAAGTTGAATTTTGAATTTGTCAATTTTAAACTTACCTTAGCAACCCATCCCTTAAGTTTGTCGTGCTTGGTGCCAGTTGCCTGCATCCAAATTTGATCCGAGATAACATTCTCTGAGAACAGTATACTCGGCGCCACATAAGAATAACCTGAAATAATGAAAAACTGTTGGGTAGCATGGCGCCATATAATTTCAATGCATCTATCTTTTAATAATTCTATCAAGCTCCTGTATAAAACACATGTTTATACAATATAAACCAAATGAAATTACAAAAAGGTTTTTACAACTCATTTCTTTCTTTATAGCAAAACACATTTTAGTTGACGGTGGGAACGGGATGAGATTGCGTCAGTAAGCGCCACAGCTATATACAAAGGGGGGGTTTCAAAACCCCTTTTACGATTTTATGCCTTTAATGGTTATGACACTTGTTCTGGTAATACAAGTATAGAAATTAAATATATTACTGTCCCACGGCTGGGCACAGGTCTCCAATTAGAATAGGAGAGGGTTTTAAGAGCTTAGACTCCCAAGGCTGCTACAGTGCCGGTTGGCAGGCTTTAAGTACTACCGCCGCTAAATTATTAAAGTTGTATATATGTGGCTTGTGCATGCACATTATAAATATGACACTTTTAAACTGTTTAAAGTGCGTGCTAGTGTGACTACAGCATTTGAAGAATTAACCCAACGCGACCAAGGTTGCTGAAAAGCATCCGAAACGTCGGTTCGTAGTTAAAAAAATAATAAATAAGGTAACTAATACAATTAGTGTTTTAAACCGTTAACAGTGTTTTATTTAAATATGTACTTCTCGAGTAAACTAACGACATTACTAAATTAATACAGTTCGCGATTGAATATTACTACTAGGGATTACAAGACGGCTAGAATTTAGCATTAAATACACACCTAGGAACAGTTTGTCGTGATGTTTAGGCGCTTGCGCAGGAGAATAGGTCGGGCGCATCTTAGTGAACTCGCCAGCAAAGTTGCTCGTATCGGCCGCGTGCGAGAGTTGCGGCACGAACGGGGCCGGAACTTCACGACGCGCGACCGCCTCCCAGTCTAAGTTCTAGAAAGGAAATTCGAATAAGTATTACTTCAATGCTATTGCAAATAATCTACGAAGAATATTTGATTAGTTGTACCTTGAAAAATGGATGTCTTTTCAGTTCTTCGGCGTCCCCCTCACCACCGCCCAGTCGCCGACGAGGATCTTTTACTAACAACCTAAAATTGTAGAAGAGAAGATAAGTTGAAGATAATCATTCGTTGGAATTAATTTCTTATACGTTATCCTTTGAACCGTTGAGCTTTATTTAAATCGCGTTAACTACAGACAGTATGTCTATTCCATTTTGGTTTATAGACAACCAACAATTCCAACATTTCCTTCTGAGTGTGACTTAACTAATCAGAACCACTTTCTGGTACCAACGATGTCTTAGCAACGTAATCCGTGGCTTGAAACACACGAACTAATAACTTTCCACTGGCCTTTTAATACTACAAGTCACCTTGCCATTGCAAATAGCAGGATCCCCTGCTGTTTTCAGTTTTCATACACTTACTTCTTAATGAAGTCTTCTACTTCTGGACTGACGTCGTTCGGCGCCGGGTAAGTGCATCGCACTATCCGCTTCGTGATGTCCTGTTGGGTGTTCTTCTCTCCTTCCACGGTGAACGGCGAAGCGCCGGTTAACAACTCGTAGGTTAGTACGCCAACGGACCACCAGTCAACAGCCTGAAGAGAAAGAAATGATAAAATTAGCGATGTGTTAATGTGAAACAATTTAACTAAAAATAGCATCGTTTGCGTTCGTTAATAAGAACGAAAGCATGTGATAGAGGAGGTACACTCGATGATAGCTGAAACCTCGACGATATAACATCAAAATAAGATGCGCTATCGACCCATTTTGGCTGTAGTTATTCAGAAATCCACAGACCGAAACGCGATATAACTTCACCGTTTTATCATCTGTTGATTGGACGGTGGTCCGTGACACGGACGGAATTTCGATGTTCCTAACACCCGTTTAGTATCGAAATTTCCAGACGAAGTCCGTTAATTATTAACCAGACATTACTACATTTAGACCATAATGCAGGTCATAATATATCAGTCGTATATTAGGAAACTGGTGGTTCTGCTAGAAGTGTACTTTTATATATACTAAGCATATTTAAGAGAGTTTAATATAAGTGGCGTTCAATGTACATTAGGTTAAGTCTAATGTAAGCCATTATTAGATAAAGAATTTAAAAAAAACAAAAATCAAATATAAGTGGCGTAGATGACATATACCAGGAGATTTATTCAAAAATAATTAAACCCAAGTACTCTTAGCAACAACGACACATTGCCAGTCGTAAACGCGATCAACCTTGGCCGATGCAAACACTAACATCTCAACTTCCTGATTATGTATGCTATAACAATTTACATTACAGTAAACTAGACGATAGCGGTTTCCTAGGAGGGTTTACTTAGCAATCGGGAAGTAATCTATTTTTAATTGTTCCAAGGCCAAATTGGTCGACATCTTTATTTATTATTATTAGCCTTTTTGAACAAGGTCACTCTCACCTTCCATTTAGTCATCTGTCTCTTTACTATAAAAAAATTTCAAAGCAAATAACCAACTATACTTTTTCAGATAAACGTCTACAGATTCTAAAATTAATGTATGCGATAATTGAGTACGTTTGTGCAATATTCCCTTGAGCACAGTAAAATGCACTTTAATTGTGAGTAAATAAAGGTTAAATTGCAAAAAGATAACAATTTAACCCTGAACGTGATAGCGGCAAGGCCAGAAACTTACTGAAGGTAAAGAACCACAAACAATAAGATACTTTAAATGCTGAGTGATTAGATCCAATATTGTTATATAGCTATAGCTGATCGATTAACATGGGTAAGCAAGTTCATCATTGGACGGGTTTTGGGTGGGAAAATCTTTATTACTTGTGTTTATGTTTTATAAATTCCACTTATATGTTGCATAATAAATTGTTGATAAGCATATCTCTTATTTAGATAATAAACTTCCGTATATCAAAAACCAAATGATGTTATATGGCTTGGAATTCCGCCTTCCATCTTTTTTTGAAATATTTCAACAGATGCGCCGCCGGCCTATTATAGCTAGGGTGTTCCACCTACCATCAAGTGAACCCCGTGTTTGTCTATCCTCTATCATACAATAATAAAACTTCAAACTTATATTCCTTAAAAGAGACTATATAATTTCTCATTTATAGCCGTTATATCCGAATTAAAGTATTATTAAAACGAACTTTATCACCAGAAAGTAGAGTATGTACATTTTAATTTATTATAAGCAAGGATTAAGCGGAGTCTTATTACAACGTAATAGAGCTTAAAATGTTTCGCGGTGAGATCCAGGTCAACCGTTATGCGACTTTTTTGGCATGGCCCATAGTAACAAGTTTGCTGGTTGCGGATTTTTCGTAACGTTTATAATAGAGGATATTGGACTTGGAATATTCGTGATTTTAACTCATCTTAATTTTATTAATAACTTGGTAGTTTAATAGTTAAACGATTTGCCTAGCATTTATGCACTAAATGATTCTAGAGAAACGGTGAAACGGTCACAGAAGTGTGTTTGTTCCATGCCCCACTAGATATAAACCATTTTATTATTTTTACTATAAGTTTAACTGTAGAAATAATAATGAATAACAAAAACATACGTTAATATATTTTTTAAGGAAATAAATAAATAAAAAAATGCTATTCCACGATTTCTATTACTTAATAATATTATATACATTATTAATATCTTGGAGTATAAGAAATGTTATTTTTGTCACTCTTGAAGCCTCCTCGGGATTCAAGGACCCATGATGATGATGACGCTTTAATGAACGGCTAAAGTCAAGTACATTTAAGTAATTCGTATTAATGTAATGACTACTTTTTTAAATAAAATCAATAATGAAGGTCAATGGTGTAATAGGCTTATTTTCAGTAAAGGTTGAAGGCTTGAAAAAACAACGCGTAACCTTGTTGAAGACTAATTACTTTGGAGGTTAATTATTTGGAATTTTAAGTATTTGTTTACGACAGACAATAATGGGGTTTAATTACTATTGAAGTTTAAATAAAACACTTTAACGGTTTAAAACGCGATATATTGGTTAAACTTATTTGCAAATGATTTTTTTTTAACGTCGGGCCGATGTTAAAAAAAAAATCATTTTCAAATAAGTTTAACTAATATATCGCGTTTTAAACCGTTAAAGTGTTTTATTTAAATGTGTACTACTCGCGTAAACTATAGACAGTATTTACTATTGAAGTTTACAAATTCTTTTAATTTATTTATAATAAGAACCCCATGATTCTAAGCACATCAGCCGTGATCACGAGGTGAGGTAGTTAATAACGAACATAGTAATTTATTTCACGTTTTAAACCGTTTCACTTTATAACACGATATTCCTCCCGGGATATCACACCCGCGGTTGTTCTTTAAAACAATTTCTGTCGAGTGACAATTTTCAAATTTACCCGCTAACTAATGATAAATTATTTCCACTTCTCCAAGGGAAGGCCGCATATCCTACATCTGATAACAATTAACACTGCTGTAACTAGGCACGATTAATCTAGGACATATCTTGAGACACATTTAGACATTATCCTTTTCATATAACATGTATATGTACCTACATTTTACATAGCGTATAGTGTGCCGAAAATGTGTGGGAAATCCCGTTTCCCCTCGTGGGGCATGGGGCGAACACATTTCTGTGTCCGTTTCACTGATCCGTTCTTTAACAAGCAAGTACTTGTTCAGACTTCTGTGCCCTGCCCGACCGAAACATTTTTTTGTTTCCCTGGGATGCGAACCCAGGACCTCTCGCGCAATGCTAGGCTAGGCTAGTTTAGTTTAACCATTTGGCTACAGAGGCGGCCAAAAACGATCTGCATTTTTATGGAAAGAACAATCACAAATGTAGTGTTTAAGTTCTATTATGTACTTAAGGTGGAAAATCCCAAATTTGTATATGCATTATATATAAGTAAGTTGTATGAATTCGAGATATAATATCCAAAGGTTTTTGCACCCAGTGACTACTACTAATAAAAAAATTACTATTGAAAACTTAAATATTTTTCATTATTTATTTTATTAAGAATCGAAAATAAATTTGTTTTTTTTTTTAATCGGGCAAGTCATCGTTACTTAATACGCAATTGTTAAGGTTGAAAAATATCGACGATAACGACTTTTAAAATGTATTTTTCGATTCTTAAAAAAAATACTATTTACGTGTTTTAAAGCGTTAAATCTTTCATTTAATGAACACAACAGGAAATAGTGATGGCGTTTTGTGGGTAGTGTGCGAGGATCCTAATCGTTGCTAAACGCCGGCCGGTGGAAACTGGTTAATAATGGTACGAATCGCGTTGCAAAACTTCACCTTGGCGCGGCGATAAATTAGGAAGAACGTTCATTTCGGCCACTACAATGTCACGATTAAATTTGTTTAGCAATTTTTCTGCCATAAGAATAATTAATAAAGATAATCGTTTAAATAAAACACTTTAACGATTTAAAACGCGATATATATCAGTTAAACTTATTTCAAAATTATTTTAACTACGGCCCGACGTTTCGGATGCTTTGCAGCAGTCGTGGCAAATACGTTTAACGAACACATCTCGTTTTGAACGTTTTAGTTAAAGTGTTTTATCTAAATGTGTAATGCTCATCAATCAAGACCAAAGCCAAAACTCGGGTATTTCATCTACCATCGAGTAAGCCCCACGTTTGTCTATCCTCTCTATCAGAAAAAAAATCTAGGTCGGAGGCTTAGATCGATCAACAGCCGTTAAGCTGTTAAGCAACCACACAGTGGTCAGTGACAATGGGTAGTTATTTTGGACTACCTTCTCTTCTTGAGCAATGGAATTCGCGATTGGGCTACCCGAGAGCAAGTCACGATCATTGGTCAATACTTATCAACGGAAGGTCGTTTGCTACGCGTGCGAAATTTCGCTGAAATCCAAACAAATCACGATCACTTGCCTATTCTACTCATCTCTGTCACCTTTTACGCATAACACACAGAACTGTACAATGAATATCAGAACCAAAAATAGGCCGACAGCGCATCTAGTTTAGATGTTATATGGCTGGGGTTTATTCACCTAACACCACTGATCCACATCTGGTGTCTTCCTCTATCATAAAAAAATATAAAAATTCTTTAAAGTTGGAACACGTATATGACTGGTGCGGGATAAGAACCGACGAACATCCAGGATATCCAGCTATTAAAAATTTTAGCTAACCTCTGTATTTTTTTTAATTAACACGTCTTAGCTTTAGCCGAAGGTTGCAGCAGCAAGATGCAGTAAAAATGACATAACAATATCAAGTTCAGGGCTCCAACACCGCGGGCTGGCTAGCCGACCCACTGACACCGTTCCGCGGCCTCGGTACATACGCGTTGGCACGTTTAAACGATCAATACATTTACACAATAATAACCTTTATTTCTATCGCCGTCGGGATTATTGTTGCGTGCGGAATGGCGGTGGTAAGTAGGATGGAATCTTGGAAGATGTGTATGAATAATCAATAATAAGTGGGTTATGCGTAAAGGTGAAAAACAATTGAATATGTGTAATTACATAAATTATTTTTGGGGATTGTAATGTGTTAGCAAAAAAAAAAAACTTTTGAACTGAAGTGAACAGAC